ATTGTAGTAGTATGTTATAGGATATATATTCATACTTTTCACGAGTTCCTCATCTTTCTGACTGTGTAAATGTCGTGCATTGAATTTTAACAGAAATGTAACGAGAGACGTCATTTATGTTTGACCCATCAAATGAATGCGGTCATTTATTTTCAGAATCAAAGTTTAACATCAAACATTTACATTAATTTGGCAAAATATGAAAATAATAACAGACAAGTTTCACAAATAATGAACTTCAATCACACGGCGGTGATTGAGGACTTTGCTTCAGATATTTCTAAAATATCTGTACTGATTTTAAGAGAAAGCAGAGTTTAAGATGGAAATGGAGATTTATCTTACAGAGAGATTTGTGAGGGAATTAATCTGTTTGACCAGAAAACGTGCACGCTCCATCAGATCTCAGCTGGCCTCCGGTACACTTAGTCGAAAATAGAACCTTCTACCTGGTTGACGATGAAATCAGCGTCGGCGTAGGTTCCTTTCTGACTCTTTCAGCGTCTCCGTGAGAACTGCCAAACCCTTAGAGAGTCGTACGAGGTTGTTCAAACAGAAGTTATAATCCCAAAACGTCTCTGGACCATCCTGAACGCGTTTGCAGCCAAGAACTCTAACTCCATCACTCTGTGCACTCTCTAGTTGAACTCATTTCTGAACACAGCAACCAACAAACTCCAGCAACTCAGCGTCTCAGCCTCTGCATGAACTGGGAAGTTGCCACATTTTAAATGGGTCGACTTCCGGGTCATTTGAGAGCTTTTTGATTGGTCGATGGACCAGGAATAGAGGTGTGGTTTGTGATGTAAGATGTTATTAAAAGTCAAGGATTGTTTTAGTGACAAACAGAAAGATTATTGTAGGACTTCAGACTTCGTGGAGTCTCACTCTTATTATCTTCTGAAAAAGTTTAAACATGACATTTTTCTCGGTAAACATTTTAGTTGACTGAGAACCGACCTTTAACATACTTACATTGCAGACAGAAAAATCAAGAAATGCATATTAACCTGATTTCTTCTTTGAATGAGGAATAAAAATCATTACTTACTGTTTATGAAAAATAAAAATGAGTAGTTTTCTTCAACCTGTAAACATTGAGTAAACTAACACAATTTGATTATCAAACATTTGTAAAATAGTAATGATCATAGAGAATTGTCTTTTCTGCTTGATTAAATCAAGAAAGAAAGTCACCAGATGGCTCAAACTGTATTTCTGGATGCAGATCAATGAAATAACAGTCACTGTTCATCTGATCAAGATTTGAGGTCAGATCAGGTTCAGATCAGGTTCACTACACTATTTAGTTTTATTTGTGCTGTATGATTTGTAAATTCGTATCAAAAGCCCGAGACTAACCCGGCCCGCCCATCAAGCACATTATTTTGGCCTGACACGGCCCAAATTTCCGGGCCAGGGTTAGACATGACTGCTCTAAAATATAAATAATCAAAATCTAGTAAAAAAAAAAAATACCCAATTACTTTACCAGAACAAAAGAATAAAGTCATTAAATTTGAATTAATGAACATCAGATCTCTTTCCTCTAAGTTTCTATTCGTAAATGATCTGAAAACTTTTGGCGAAAGATGAAACGCTTCAACAAGAAGAATCCATCCAGAGGACCTGACTTTAGTTTGTTAGATTTTTCTACCTGTATCATTGAAAATGCATCAGGATTATATTGATTTATTCTGTCTGACAGAAACCTGGCTACAACAGGAGGATTTTATTAGTATAAATGAATCCATTCTGCCTAATTACAGGTATTTAAACGTTCAA